CTCACTCTGGCGCGGACGTGTGGCGGTGTGTCTCTCATATTACCTGTGCGTCGGGGAAGCTCTCTTAACTCTGTGCCGCGGCCCCGTATTTTTAAAAAGTCTTCGACGCGCTCTGATCCTCGGGTTTTTCCCCCCCTCCCCTCCCCTCTCTCTCTTTCCCCCCCCACACGCCCCAAACTCTCCACTGAACCTCGACGCTTGAGGTCTGACTCTCGAGTGCTTCCCCCCCTACCCCTCCAAGCCTGACTTCTGAGGGAGTCGGCGTGCTGTGTGTCTCTCCCTCCCGCCCTCCGCCCCTCATCTCCTCGCTGCCTCCTGACGGCGAGGGCGACGGCGAGGACTCCCCCGCTGCATCATGTAAGTGTCCCCGGGTGGTGGTCGGGTCGGGTCCTCATACCTCATACCACATATCCTAGGGGGTATGAGGCTAGGGTAATGTACAGCGAACTACGAAACGAGGGGAAAATTATATCTTATACCTCATGGAAAATTTTGCCTCTTAATGGGCAATACACAACTCGAAGCAAAGACGATGGATATATATCTACCCACAGAAAAGGGAGGGGATAAAAAAAGTAGTGATTTTCACGTATAATTATATATATATATATTTTATCTCTCTCTTTCTCCGCAACCATCACCAAAAACCATCATGCAACCTCTCTCTTTCAGTCTATCTATCTCTCTATCTACGTCCCCCCCCTCTCTCTCTCTCTCTCTCTCTCTCTCTCTCTCTCTCTCTCTCTCTCTCTCTCTCTCTCTCTCTCTCTCTCTCTCTCTCTCTCTCTCTCTTTCTCTCACCTCCACAACCGCCATTAACGCCAAGCAGCAGCGGCCGGTTCCCCTTGGCATGACGTTCCGAACTCGCTCAGTTTACATACATTAACATCTAAATGGGGTATAAAGATGGCCCATTCCCAACCCCAAGGAAGGTCCCTCTCTCTCTCTCTCTCTCTCTCTCTCTCTCTCTCTCTCTCTCTCTCTCTCTCTCTCTCTCTCTCTCTCTCTCTCTCTCTCTCTCTCTTTCTCTCTCTCTCTCTCTTTCTCTCTCTCTCTCTTTCTCCTTCTCTTTCTCTTTCTCATTCTCTATCTATCTATCTATCTATCTCTGTCTCTCTCTTTCTCATTTCTCTCTCTCTCTCTCTCTCTCTCTCTCTCTCTCTCTCTCTCTCTCTCTCTCTCTCTCTCTCTCTCTCTCTCTCTCTCTCTCTCTCTCTCTCTCTCTCTCTCTCTCTCTCTCTCTCTCTCTCTCTCTCTCTCTCTCTCTCTCTCTGCTCGCTCCTCATTTTCCATCTCGCCAAAAAAAGGGAGGATTGATCAATGGAGTTTTGAGTTCAAGGTTTCAGTTCATTCTATTATTCAGACGTGAAAGATACGAGAAGAAAAAGATAGATAAAGAGGAGAAAAATCAAGAAGTGAAATAAGATTATCTTTCGTTCTGTTATTTAGTTCTTTATCTGTTATTTTTATCTTTATTGTTATCTATTTTTATGATCGTTCATCATTGTCGATTTATTATCATATTATTATTTATTCATTCATCGTAATTTCTAGTATCAATTAACTAATAATTTCTTGTAATATTTACATCTATTCTTTTTTATCATTATATATACGTATTATCATTATTCATTTATTTATTATCATTTACTCTCCATCTCACGATATCAAAATCCATCTTAAACGTTTTCCATTCCCGTAAAAAAAATAAAATAAAATAAATGAAATTAAAACCGCATCAAAATAAAACTCGAATTAAATCAAAATCAATACGAATAAAAATCGAAATATTCGCTTTTGTCCTTTCGTCTGAAAAATCCTTACGTAGGATATTGTCACAACGCATCGTCGATCCTGACTGGCAGTTCTTAGGCACGTGGTCGAGGTGATGGTCCATTGGGTCAGGCAGTCATGCAGTCATGTAATGTCATGCAGAAGTCAGAAGGTTCAGGAGATTAATGAATGATAGATAGGATGATAGTTTTTTTAAATGTTTGTTTTTTGTGTGTGTGTTTTTCTTCTTTTTTTCTAAATATTGGTATAATATATAAGTGGATGTGATAGTGTTCAAGTTTAAAATTTTAGTGTTCAATCTTATTTGATCATTAATCACCCAAAATAGAATTACACACAAAAAAGGTACCTCACTCTATCACTAAAAACAACCACAACCCATATACATAATTTCCGAAATCAAAAATACCCCCCCCAAAAAAAAAAGAAAAAGAAAAAAAAAATCGAAAAAATATGAACGTAAAAAAAAAAAAAAAAAAAGAAAGAAAACAAAAAAAAGAAAGAAAACAAATTGACCGTCATGCACAGCTGTCATGCACATCACGCTGAAGTTAAATGTCTGACGAATAACAAAGTGAATTCGCGTTAGTTCCGCCTCATGACATTTATCATGGCGTGAAATATAACTCGTTTTGTGATCTATTGCCTTGTTCGTCTGTCAGGTGTGATTAAGGGATGAGCAGAAGAAATAGAGAGGAAAATGGAGAAGAGAGAAAGAACAAGAAATGGAATAATTGGTGAGAATTTTCTGAAATTATGAACTGACTACCATTCGCTAAATTTTCTTTCATCAATCTCTCTCTCTATTTCCGTCTACTTACATATAAACACACGAATCCACATAAATTCCCTTCCTTAATTCATTAAAAAAAACAACACACATAAAAAAAAGTTACATTATAGAGCATTTTTATAATGATTTTCACCAACGAATTTTTCTCCCCTCCCCCCCCTTCGCCAATGTTGATATGCAATCTGTCAACAATTACGCACGTGCAGCTTGAGATTGAATGCAAGACGTAGAATCGGCCTTGGTTTGCATGCGAGGTTGACTTGCAAGTCGTCCAAGTGTCAAGAGATGATCGTTGTCATGAATTGTCAAGTTCTTAAAGATGCGTTTTTTTTTTTGTTGTTGTTGTTTGTTTGTTTTTTTGCATATATATATTATTCTGTTTTGTGTTGGTGTTAGTACTTATCTTTATATAGCTATCTATTTAGCTATCTATTTATTTTAGCTATCTATCTATTTATCTATTTATCTCCCACTATAAAGATAAAAAATGCGTAACGAATCGAAAGAAATCAAATAAAACAATTGAAATTAAGAAAAAAAAAGTGACGATCTATTACAAATTCCTATTCCAAATCCAGAAAAAAAAATAAAAATAGAAATAAACATATGAATATATAAACAAATAACCAAAAAATAAGACCGTCTTTTTGAACTCCTAATTAACCCCTCCCCCCCCCCCAAAAAAAAAAAATGAAAATAAAAAATACCAAAAGGCTTTGTATTAAGCAGGTAGAAAGACACCCATTTCGTGGAAAAAATCTCGATAATTGAATATTCTTTCTCGCGGATGACAGGTAGCGAACATGTCTTGTAATATAATCCATTTTTTCCCCCTTCTCTCTTTCTCAATCTGGTCTGATTTATCTGTTATATTTTATCTCTTTCTTTTTCTCTGTTTTTATTTCTTTCTTTCATTTTTTATCTCTCTTTGATTTCTTTATTTTTTTTCTCAGTCTCTCTCTCTTTCTCTTTCTTTTTCTTTTTTTCTCTCTTTCTCTCTCTCTCTCTCCATCCGTCCCTCCCCTCCCTCTCTCCCTCTACCTCCCACCCTCTCCCTCTCTCTCTCCCTCTCCCTCCGTCCCTCCCTCCCTCTCTCTCCCATATAGATATATAAACAAATAACCAAAAAATAAGACCGTCTTTTGAACTCCTAATTAACCCCTCTCCCCCCCCAAAAAAAAATGAAAATAAAAAATACCAAAAAGGCTTTGTATTAAGCAGGTAGAAAGACACCCATTTCGTGGAAAAAATCTCGATAATTGAATATTCTTTCTCGCGGATGACAGGTAGCGAACATGTCTTGTAATATGATCCATTTTTTCTCCCTTCTCTCTTTCTCAATCTGGTCTGATTTATCTTTTATATCTTTATCTCTTTCTTTTTCTCTGTTTTTAGTTCTTTCTTTCATTTTTTTTCTCTCTCTCTTTGATTTCTTTATTTTTTTTTTCTCTCAGTCTCTCTCTCTTTCTCTTTCTTTTTCTCTCTCTCTTTCTCTCTCTCTCTCTCCATCCGTCCCTCCTTCTCTCCCTCTCCCTCCCACCCTCTCCCTCTCCCTCTCCCTCCGTCCCTCCCTCCCTCTCTCTCCCTCCCCCCCCTCCTCTTGTTTCATTCATTTTTTACCTCTTTATATAACCCGGTACCAAACTACAGCCAAAGGTGATGATGATATTTCTTGAAGATGGAATTTGCCGAAACGATTGGCTTTTCTAAGAAGTTAAATTGTTTTGGATTGGATCTTAGGTGGCGTTGAAATTTCTGAAGTTTGGTTTATATTTCTTTTTCTTTTTTTTCTTTTTTTCTTTCTCATTCGGTTTCGTTTTCGTTTGTTTTTTGTTTTTGTTTTGAGTTCTTGTTTCTTTTTTTTCTCTCTCTCTCTCTCTCTTGTTTTCTTGTTTTCGTTTTGTTGCTCTCGTTTTCTCCATCTCTCTCTCTTTCTTTCTTTCTCCCCCCCCCCCTCTCTCTCTCTCTCTCTCTCTCTTCTCTCTCTCTCTCTCTCTCTCTCTCTCTCTCTCTCTCTCTCTCTCTCTCTCTCTCTCCTCGTTTGCTTTGATTTTATTTTTACATTCACTTTTACTTTCAAACATTCTCTTTAATACGTACATACCTTCCAAGTAAATATGATTCATGCAGTTCATGAATCCAGATGAAAACACACACACACACACACACACACACACACATACCCCCCCCACCGCATACACTCCTACCCCACACCCCCCACCCCTTCCACACATACATACTTGCACCTCCCCCCTACCCCACTCCACCCTACCCCCTACACCACACATACACCCCCACCGCATACACCCCCCCCCCCCTCTCCATACATACGTACATACACCTCCATCCCACCCCACACTCCAACCCCACACCCTACACACACACACGCACACGCACACACGTCCATCGTTCGTGTGCACCGCCAAGGCCACCATCGTTCTTGGAATTCGGTGAAGATCCACGAAGGGCCTTGCCGAGGACGCCCAGCTGGCACCTGGCACACGAGGGCAGATGTGGCACGATTGGACACTGGGGGAGAGAGAGAGCAGAGGGGAAAAAAGTCCTAGTTAAAAAGAGAGAGGTACTGTATATGTATATGTACGCTTGTGTACATCATACATACGTACACATAAATATACTTATATATATGTGTGTGTGTGTGTGTGTGTGTGTGTGTGTGTGTGTGTGTGTGTGTGTGTATGTATATGCATATGTATATATATGTATGTATGTATGTATGTATGTATATATATATATATATATATATATA